GGCCTCAAATTCACAAAGATCTGCCTGCCTCTGCCTCCCAAGTGCTGGGATCAAATGCATGCACCACCACACCCTGTGGATTTTCTTTTTTTTTAATATTTTATTTAATTTTTTTTTTTATTTTATGTGTACGAGTATATTGTCTGCATGTATGTGAGTGTATCCATGTCATGCAGTGCCACAGAGGTCAGAAGAGGGCTTCAGATTCCCCTGGAACTGGAGCCTAGGATCATTCGTAGCCACCATGTGGGTGGTGGGAATCGAACCCAGGTCCTGTGCAAGAGCAGTCAGTGCTCTTAACTGCTGAGCCATCTCTCCAGCCCCCCCACCTTTTAAAAAATATTTTCTTAAGATTTTGTTTCTTAATCCATTCAACTAGCCTTTGTCTTTTGACTGGGGATTTCAGTCCATTGATATTTAAACTTGTTGTTGAATGATGTGTATTGGTTGCCATCATTTTGATTACTGTTTGCATTCTTTGTCTAATTTTGTGTTTCCACAATTATACTTTCATTTAATTTCTTTCTGTTGCCCTTGGGGTATAGTTCCTTTCTCTGTTCTTTGTATTGCTTCAAGTATTCTTTGAAGGGTTCATTTTGTGGACATGTATTCTTTCAGCCTATTCATGTCATGGAAGATTTTTCTTTCTTCTTCAACTATAATAGACATTTTTGCTGGGTAAAGTAGTCTGGGTTGGCATCTATAGTCATTTAGAACTGGAAATACCTTAGTCCAGGCTCTTCTGGCTTTCATAGTTTGCACTGATAAGTCAGCTGTAATTCTGATGGGTTTTCCTTTATATGTCCTTTATATGTATTGTTGTTTTTCTTTTGCAGCTTTCAGTATTCTCTCTTTGTTCCGTACAGTTAATGTTTTTACTATGATATGCTGTCGGGAGTTTCCTTTCTGATCCTGTCTATTTGGTGTTCGATGTGCTTCTTGTATTTGTGTTTGTTTGTTTGTTTGTTTGTTTTTTCTGGTTTTTTTTTTTTTTTTTTTTTTTTTTTTTTTGTCTTTTTGAGACAGGGTCTCCCTGTGGCTCCAGCTGTCCTGGAACTCACTATGTAGACCAGGCTGGCCTTGAACTCACAGAGATCCGCCTCCCTCTGCCTCCTGAGTGCTGGGATTAAAGGCATGCGCCACCATGCCCGGCTGCTTCTTGTATTTGTATGGGGATGTCTTTCCTTAATTTTGGGAAATTATCTTCTACAATCCAGTTTAAGATCTGCTCAAGATCATTAACCTAAAATTCTCCTTCCTCTATGCCTATGATTTGTAGATTTGGTCTTTTTCATGTTGTCTCACATTTCCTGCATATTCCATTACTGTGTTGATGTTGTTGTTGTTGTTGTTGTTTTTTAATTTTTCATAATCTTTGCTTGAGTGATCCAATTCTTCAACTTTATCCTCCAGTGTTGATATTCTATTTTCCATTTCATTCTTTCTATCAGTGAGGCTTTCTCCTGTTGCTTCAGATTGGCTTATTGAGTTATTTCCTTCTTCATTTCAGCTTGAGTTTCCTTCAACGTTTCTATCTCTTTTGTGAATTCAGTCAGAGGTTTATCCCTATCTTCTTTTAGTTCTTTGATTTCTTTGTTTGTGTGTTCTTTAAATTCGTTGAGTTCCTTGATCATGTTTGTGATTGTTCTTTTAAATTCTATATCTTGGGTTATCTCTAGGGGGCTCTCCTTTTAGAACTCTTATACAGGGCCAGTGGAGTTTGATGGGAACATGCTGTTTTGGTTTTCCATAGTATTATTTTTCCATTGTGATTTTGGCATGTGGATTTCTTTTGTTGCTTGTGATTCTGGTATGAAACTCAAGCCTTCTTTCATTGAGTTGAAGTTTGCTTCTGTTTGTATTATTGATGTGCCTTGGTTGTTTTCTTATTGTGTATGTAAAGCTGCTTGGTCTAGGTTTCAGGTTCTCTCAGATTTTATTTTGGAGGGAACTAATGACTTCAGATCAGCTACTCAGGAGCTCCCACAGAGGTCCAAGTCAGGCTCTAGTCAGGTACACTGAAGCTTCCTTCTAACCTTTGGACCCCTACTAGTGGGTACTCACAGCACAATTTGGGAAGTTCACTAAGGGGAAGCCCATTTTTGGTACTCTTAGGCAGTCTGCTAAGGTCTCAGCCCCACTGTAGGGTAGAGGGGCCTAGTTCTTTGGATATGGGAGGGGCTTCACATAATCCCACTTAGGGAGTTGAGTATGATGAGATTTGGAGACACTCACCACTATGCAGAAGCCAGATGCAGGCACTCTCAGGTGGTCTGCTGAGGTCTTACACCAGGCAGAGACCAGATCAGGTACTCTTAGGCTGTCTTCTGTCCCAGAAGATTAATTTTTAAAGCACTGAAATCCAGTTAATTATTTTAAGAGTTTATATGATTAACTTTTTCAAAAATCTTAACTGTATAGTTGTATACTATTTGAATATCCTACTTATATGTTTGTGCTTTTTTTATTTTTTTTATTTTTTGGTCTTTTTGAGACAGGGTCTCCCTGTAGCCCCAGCTGTCCTGGAACTCACTATGTAGACCAGGCAGGCCTTGAACTCATAGAGATCCACCTGCCTCTGCCTCCCAAGTGCTGGGACTACAGGCATGCACCACCACGCCCGGCTATGTTTGTGCATTTTAATATGCTCAAAGATAGATACTAAATTTTGTCCTGATAGAGCTGGGCTTGGTTGTGCATGCCTTTAAATCCAACACTTGGGAGGCAGAGGCAGGAAGATCTCTGTAAGATTGAGCCCAGCTTGGTCTACCATAGTGAATTCCAGGCCAGCTGGGGCTACAGAGACCCTGTCCCAAAAAAGAATAGGAATCAAATCTGGGTATGGTGGTACACAACTTTAGTCCCAGCACTTGAGGCAGAGGCAGGCAGATCTCTGTGAGTTCAATGCCACCCTGGTCTACATAGTGAGTTCCAGGCCAGTCGGGGCTACCCAGAGACCCTGTCTCAAAAAGACAAAAAAAAAAAAAAAAAAAAAAAAAAAGGTATCTATAAAGACACTTCCTTCCCAACCAAAAAGAAAACATCACAGCCAAGCATGGTAGTGCACGCCTTTAATCCCAGCACTTGGGAGGCAGAGGCAAGTGGATCTTGTGAGTTCAAGGCCAGCCTGGTCTACATAGTGAGTTCCAGGACAGCTGGGGCTACAAGGAGACCCTGTCTCAAAAAGACCAAAAAAAAAAAAATTATACATCACCTTGATCATGTGCTAAAAACAGTTTATGTTCATTAGGCAATAGTGACTTACCCTTCTGATTCTATGGTTTGAACATCTACAATTTTTCTTTTGTTTTCTGCAGACCTTAACAGCAGGTTGGGATGAACTTGAGTGCCATCGGGTTTATAACTTCTTATGTGAGTTGACTAATCTCTCCCGTAAGATGCAAACTGTTGTCTGTAACAAACCAGGTAAAGAACTTCAATTCATAGATAATATTATTTAGAGATGAAATTTTAGAAAAGAAGCAGTTGAAAGGCATATTTAAAATGACTCATGAGGGATAGACTATTGTTCACTTCGCAGAGTGCACCTAGCATCCTCAAAACCCTGGGTTCAGTCTCTAGCATCCCAAATACTGGGAATGATCTCCTTCCTATTGGCTGCTTCTGTAGAGATCCTGGGCTAACATAGAAGGGGAAAACCCCAAAACAGGATGGTGATTCTTCTGGGGGAAAGGATTGAAATTGATATATAAGAAACCTCAATATTTGTAATGTTTCCTCTATTTTAAAAATGTTGAAGTAAACATAGCAATATGTAAAGCTTTGACAAAGCTAGGTGATTTGTATACTATATTTTTGCATTTCTGTCAACTTGAAATAGTTCATTATAAAACAAATTATGAATAAAAAGCAGATTTATTAATTATTTATTTAGAGTCAGTCTTGCTGTTTCTTTCCTCTTTTGGTTGTGCTGGGGATTGAAACTTTGAATGTGGTAGGCAAGTGTTCTATCACTGAGCTACATTTCCAGCCCCAAGAGTCTTACTGTGTAGCATAGGCTGGCCTTCAACTTACCGTATAGACCAGTCTAGCCTCAAACTTGCTAGCCTCAAACTTGCTCCTACCTCAGCCTGCTGAAAAAGGCATATTAGGAAACCCAGTGAATTGATAACACAATTTAACATGTCTCTCTTTTGATCAAAAACTTTTCTTTGCTTCCTGATAGATTCAAAATTAGTTCAAACTGTAAAAACTGGCCTTGTACTCTAATCCCCACCTACATTTTCAAAATGATCTACTCTATTAGTTTGATTTAAGCATATTGCTTTCTACTCACTGTGTCTCAAATACCTTTACACATTTGTGTCTCAGTACCTTTTATTCTGTGTGTGTGTGTGTGTGTGTGTGTGAGAGAGAGAGAGAGAGAGAGAGAGAGAGAGACAGGGTCTCCCTGTAGCCCCAGCTGACTTGTGCTATAAGACCCAGTTGGGAGCTGGAGGGATGGCTTAGTGTTTTAACACTGTATACTGCTCCTCCAGAAGACCAGAGTGCAGTTCCTAACACACACATCAGGTAGTTTGCAACCACCTGTAACTCCAGTTCTAGGGGATCCATTGCCCTGTTATAGTCTCCATGAGCATTGCACTCATGTTCATAAATCTGTACATAAACACAGATACACATGATTTTTAAAAATTAAGGGGCTGAAGAGATGAGTCAGTCAGTGGTTAAGAGCACGTGCTGCTCTTGTAGAAGACTTGGGTTTGGTTCCCAGCACCCACATGGGGGCTCGCAACAGCCTGTAACTCCAGTTCCAGGGAACCCAATGCCCTCCTCTGGCCTCAGGGACATACACACATGAGGTACATATTATACATGTAGGCAAAATATTCATGAACCTTTTTTAAAAAGTCTTAAAACTCAATGTGGGAGCTAGAGATATAGCTTAGTTGGTAGAGTGCTTCCCTAGCATGGACAAGGTGTTGAGCTCAACCCACAACACCAAATAAAACTGATATGGAGGCATACACCTGTAATCCCAGCACTCTGGAGGTGAAGTCAGGAGGATCAGAAGTTCAAAGTCATCCTTAGCTCCATAGTAAGTCCTGAGACCCTGTCTCAAAAGTGAATAATTAAAAAAATACAAAAATAAAGCCTAGTCTCAAAAAACTAAAAGTAGGGCCAGTGAGATGCCTCTCTGGGTAAAGGCACTTGCCATCAAGTCTGATGATCTGAGAGAACAGAGGTATGAAAGTTGTCTTCTTACCTCAACACACATACCATGGTACATGTGCACCCATACACTTAATGCATGCACACACAGAATGAGTAAATGTAATAAAAATTTAAAATCAGAAATATAAATAAATAGCAGGGCCCCTTGAGAATCTTAAAAAAAATACTTTTTTTTTTAATCTTTTTTGAGACAGGGTATCCCTGTAGCCCCAGCTGTCCTGAAACTCACTACATAGACCAGGCTGGCCTTGAACTCACAGAGATTGCCTGCCTCTGCCTCCCGAGTGCTGGGATTAATGGCGTGCACCACCACGCCCAGCATAAAAAAAAAAAATACATGTTTTTGCGACAGCCTCTCCCTGTAGCCCCAGCTGGCCTGGAATTCATTATGTAGATCAGGATGGCTTTTTCTCCCAGAGATCCACTGGCCTCTGCCTTCTGAGTGCTGGAATTAAAGGCACATAATGCCTGGCTTAAAAATCTAAATTTTTGTGGAAGAAAGTAGAGTGCCGCTTTCAGTACCAAGTACATTGGTGATGTATGGCTTTGACCTGCCTTTACATTTATTACCTTTAAATCCAAAATTGGTCTGGGGATATAGATTGGCTGATAGAGTTCCTGCCTAGCATATACAAAGCCCTGACCCCAGCTGCATAAACATTGCAGTGGAACACACTAATAATCCCAGCACTTGGGAGGTAGAAGCAGGAGGATCAGAAGTTTAAGGTCAACCTCAACTACATAATGAGTTCAAGGCCAACCTGGGATACATGAGACCCTGTTTAAATAAATAATTAAATGCAAAGTTAGACAACATTCTGGTAAACTTGAGCATGAATTTTGATGGACCCATTTTTCAAAATACTGAAAATTAGCCAGATGTGATAGCACTCACCTTTAATACCAGTGTTCAGGAGGCAGAGGAAGGCTCTCACTGTGAGAGCAGGGCCAGCCTGGGATGGTCTACATAGTGAGTTCCAGGCCAGCTAAGTAGGACTACATAGTAAAATACTGAAGATAGGAGCTGGAGAAATGGCTTAGTGGTTAAAGAGCATGAGAGTTTGATTCCCACAACCCACAATGGGTGGCTCACAACCACCTATAAATCTAGCTACAGGAAATCTAACATTTCTGACTTCTTCTGACACCTGTACTCTCATGGTACACACACACACACACACACACACACACACACACACATATAATTAATAAAATCAGGCTGGGCATGGTGGCACACACCTTTAGTCCTAGCACTCAGGGCGTAGAGGCAGGCAGATCTCTGTGAGTTCCAGGCCAGCTGGGCTATAGGGAGACCCTGTCTCAAAAAGACCAAAAGAAATAATAATCTTCATACTGAAGATAAATCAGGAAGTTACTAAGCACAAGAAGATAGCCAAACTATACAGTTGGGTACCTTAAAAATTGATTATTGGTGACTTCCTGTTTATACACTCAGTTTATGACCATTTCTTTTTTTATTTATTTATTATGTGTATAAGTGTTTTGCCTGCATGTATGTAAGTCTACCACATGCATGCAATGCCTGAGAAGGCCAGAAGAGGGAGTCAGATCCACTGGAGCTGGAGTTACAGCCTGTTAGCCACCATGTGGGTTCTAGGAACTGAACCCTGTTCTGCAAGAGTAGCCAATGCTCTTAACCACTGCTCTCCAGACGCTCTTTAGTTGCTATGACCACTGATTTGACCATGGTGGTTAATACCTTGTTCTGATCACTATCCAATATACAACTTAGTTTTCTAGAAAAATGATTTATGCCGTGCGTGGTGGTGCATGCCTTTAATCCCAGCACTTGGGAGGCAGAGGCAGGTGGATGTCTGTGAGTTCAAGGCCAGCCTGGTCTACATGGTGAGTTCCAGGACAGCTAGGGCTACAGGGAGATGCTGTCTCAAAAAGACCAAAAAAAGAAAAATAATTACAACTCCTCCTTTTTCTTCATCATAGGAAATTCTAGAAGACTAGAGTTAAGGATTAGACTGTTCTGTAGGAATGTCCTGCTTGATCACTGGATACACCGAAGTGATTCTGCATTTTGGTTGACTCAAATATTGAAACCATGGCCAATGGTGAATCAGGCAAGATTGCTATTTATCATCTTTGGGCCAACATCTCCTCAGGATGGTAAGCACCAGGTTTTTTTCATAGATGGATGTTATTTGCCCGGTTAATTACTTTAGCTTTAGGAAGGCTTTTTAAAAAGCTTTTCAAGGTGAAGTGGCACGTGCCTTTAATCCCAGTACTCAAGAGGCAGAGGCAGGTAGATCACTGAGTTTGAGGCTAGCCTGGTCTACATAGAGTTCCAGGCTATCCAGAGGTTTATAGTGAGACCCTGTCTTTTTAAAAAATATTTTGTTACATCTGGGCATGGTGGTACACGCCTTTAATCCCAGCACCTGGGAGGCAGAGGCAGGCAGGTCTCTGTGAGTCCAAGGCCAGCCTTCGAGTTCCAGGCTAGCTGGAGCTACAGAGAGACCCTGTCTCAAAAACACCAAAAAAAATTATTTTATGCATGTGAGTGTATTGCCTGCATGTGTATAAGTGCACCCATATCATACAATGCCCATGGAGGTCAAAAGAAGGACATAGGACCCTCTGGAACTGAGATTGCTGCCATGTAGGTGCTGGGAATCAATCCTTGGTCCTCAGCAAGAGCAGCCAGTGCTCTTAACCTCTGAGCCATCTCTCAAGCCCCAAGACCCTGTCTTAAAAGACTAAAATAGGGGCTGGAGAGATGGCTCAGTGGTTAAGAACACTGACTATTCTTGCAGAAGACCTGGTTTTGAATCCCAACACCCACGTGGCAGAGATCGGACAGCGTCTTCTGTCTTCTAAGGTCATTGCACAACACGGGTGCACTTTTTTGTTGGTTATTGTTTTTGTTAAGACAGGTCTCACTATATAGTCTTGGCTAACCTGGAACTCACTATGCAGATCAGGCTGGCGTCCAACTCACAGAGATATATCTGCCTCTGCCTCCCTAGGATTAAAGGTGTGTGCCACCATGCTTAGTCCTGTGTGCGTCCCTGTGTCTGTCTGTCTATATGTGTCTATGAAGGTGTCTTGATGTGTGTCTTGATCTGTGTGTCTGTGTGTCTATGTATGTGTCTATTTTTGTGTGTCTGTATATCTGTGTGTGTGTCTGTGTGTGTGTCTATGTCTGTGTCTGTATATGTGTGTGTATCTGTGAGTGTGTGTATGTCTGTAGGGACACATGTGCCATGGCATGGGTGTGGAAGTCAGAGAACAACTTGCAGGATTTGGTCCTCTCCTACACTATGTGGGTTCTGGAGATCAAACTCAGGTAATCAGACTTGGCAGCAAGCACATTTTCCTGGCTCTCACCAGTCCTAGGAAAGCTTTTTTATTTACTGTTTCACCATTCTCAATGATTAAAATGTGCTTCGTGATTTCATAGACATTTACTACAATAATTTGTGCTACCCTAAGCTTCAAAACAGAAATTGTTCTGCTGTAAGCCATTACCAGATATGCTTCTGTCATCCCTTGTTTACTTGAAAATAGCTGCTTTTCTTTTGGGGTTTTTTTTTGGGGGGGGGTCTTTTTGAGACAAGGTCTCCCTGTAGCCCCAGCTGTCCTGGAACTCATTATTGTAGACCAGGCTGGCCTTGAACTCACAAAGATCCGCCTGCCTCTGCCTCCCAAGTGTTGGGATTAAAGGCATGAGCCACCATGCCTGGCTGCTTTTCTATTTTAAACATTATTGTAACTCAAAGTTGTCTGCTGCTGGAAGAGACTAATAATACTAAGAAGCAAAATAGTGGTCAAGTGGTGTTTTACTTAGTTTAGATTCATAATCTGATTTTTTGAAAGTTTGTTACCTAAATTGTGCTTAGATTAATGCTGAAACTGTCATTATATTTCTTTATCCCACATTCACTTATTATATTGGTAGATAACCAGTTTATCATACGTTGACTAGCAGTCAGGGATCAATTTGGAGTTAAAATTTTGTTGTATATAAGCCACAAAGAGAATTGGTGATAGGTAAATAAGTGAAAATTGATTGAATTACTATGTCATGGAACACATGTTTGAAAGATTCTCAAAGACAGTATGTTCCATTTTAGAAGGCTATTAGATTTTATGTGATTTTAGCAAAATTATAGCATTGCCATTCCAATCTGTATTGCAGAAGGAGATGGATCTCTGTGAGTTTGAGGCCAGCCTGGTCTACATAGTGAGTTCCAGGCCAGGCCTCACTACAGGGAGACCCTGTCTCTGCCTGCCTCTGCCTCCCAAGTGCTGAGACTAAACATGTGTGCCACCATGCCCAGCAATAAATAAAATATTTTTTAAAAATGAAAAATTAAGATGGACTGGGCATTGTGGCACACACCTTTAATCCCATCGCTCTGGAAGCAGAGGCAGTCCAATCTCTGGGAGATCAAGGCCAGCCTGGTCTACATAGAGTTCCAGGCCAGCTGGGGCTATGGGGAGACCTTGTCTCAAAAAGACTAAAAAAAAAAAATTAAGATGAGGGGCTGGAGAGATGGCTCAGTGGTTAAGAACACTGGCTGTTCTTGCAGAAGACCCGGATTGGAATCCCAGCACCCATATGGCTGCTAAAAAAATGTCCATAACTCCAGTCCCAGTGGATCCAACAGCCTCTTCTGACCTCCATGGGCATTGCACGACATGGGTACAGTTACCTACATACAGGCAACACATGCATACACATAAAATTTTAAAAAAAGAAAAATAAATTAAAATGAGTGATTCATGAGAAGGAAGATACCTGAAGTTGATCTCTGACCTCCACATGCATGCACACTCACACAAAAAATAATAAATTAACAATAAATAAAAGCACTATTCTTTTTTATGAAAAAGAGTTTGGGGTTAAAATGTATTTTAATATAGGTTTAAGCACAAGGATTAAGAGAAAGAGGCACTCAGAAGGTAACACACACCAGGAACAGCAACGTGGATGTGGGCCTCTAGAGAGCTGTAGAAAGTACGACATACCAAATGTGGGTGCAGGCTTCTAAATGAAGAGTTGCAAAAGCACTATTCTTCGTGGTGAAACTACTTAGTTTCTTGGCTTACTACTACTGCTTCCATGTTTCATCACATTAGTGGGAAACTCAAAATTTATAAAGCTATCAAAATTGACATTTTATGTAGCTTGTATAAGTAATGGAATTCCATTATATAATCCTTTCCATTGTAAAAAAAAAATCTTGAAATTTTATCACAAAGCCATCTATTCTATCATAGCCTAGCATTTTTTTCAATTCAGGGCAGGTGATTTGGCAGGAAATGGTAGAAGAGCCTACAGAGGAATCTAATCTGAAAGGGTTGGCTGATGCCATTAAATTACTCTATGACACAAGTTCCAAAGAGTGGACAGCAGATGATGTCATCAGTCTTGTAGATGAACTATCAGGTAAAATATATATTTACTAGTATAGAGTAATAGAAATTTATTATTAGAATGCAGTTATAAAATTATACAGACAATTCAACATGAAAGTACATATAAGAAGTCACTAACTGCTTTATTTATAGTTTTGTTTGTTTGTTAGCTTGTTGTTTGTTTGGGGGTTTTTTGGTTTTGGGGTTTTTTTTTGTTTTTATTTTTTTGTCTTTTTGAGTCTGGGTCTCCCTGTAGCCCCAGCTGGCCTGTATTTGTTTTGGAGACCAAGCTGGCCTTGAACTCACAGATCCACTTGCCTTTGCCTCCCAAGTGCTGGGATTAAAGGCATGCACCTCACCCAGCTGTAGTTTTGTTTCTCTGCTAACTGCTCGAAAGCATTTTATAATCACCTTCCTCTTTTTTTTTCTGGATCCTTTTGAGATAGGGTCTCCCTGTATCCCCTGCTGGCCTGGAACTCACTGTGTAGACCAGGCTGGCCTCGATCTCACAGAGATTCCTCTGCCTCCGGAGTGCTGGGATTAAAGCACTACCTTCCTTTCAGTTTCCATTTTTTATTAATTTTTTTCTTTGACAATTTCATATATATATATCATTCTGCTTTCTCTTACTCCTCACCCTCTTGAATCTCCCTCCAAGTTTTTCCCTTGTTCATGTCTTTGTTTTGTGACCCACTAAATTTAAGTGCTATCCACATGACTATGGATGTGGAACTGTCCATAGAGCCTGGTAGGTTCACCAATGGATATACAACTGAAGACAGTGACTCCTCTTCCACCAGTACCCATCAACAGCTCCTCAGGGAGGAGCTCAATTTCCAGTTATTATTATTATTATTATTAATTATTTGAAACCTTCATTATTTAGTTTGCTTAGTCTCATTTTACAAGTTCCCACATATACCTTTCTAGGTTTTGTAAAAAGAAAGCCCTCTCCTGTAAGTATAGGAAGGGTGAAACAATTACTTTAGATTCTGAAGTTTACAAGGGTTTTATCCTTATACAGATTATCACTTTGCTTGCTGATATATGTAGAAGAATTGCTTTGACTGTACTACAAGTACAGCTGTAAAAGCCACCATGACTTGGCAGTAGTCTTTGTTTGAATGAAAATATTTTTTTCTGAGTGTTTCCCTTGGCATTAATTATATTTTCTTTTTCTTTTCTTTTGGGTTTTTTTTTTTTTTTTTTTTTTTTTTGTTTTTTTGGTCTTTTTGAGACAGGGTCTCCCTGTAGCCCCAGCTGTCCTGGAACTCACTATGTAGACCAGGCTGGCCTTGAACTCACAGAGATCCTCCTGCCTCTGCCTCCCGAGTGCTGGGATTAAAGGCGTGCACCACCATTCCTGGCCATTAATTATATTTTCAGTAAAACAATATAATATCAAGTGTATTTAAAGATATTTGCTATAGTAACTGTGTGGTTTCTCATTGAATAACTGTTCTTCCTCTAAACAAGTGGTTCCCCGGGAGTGGCTTCTAGAGAATAGTGCACGTCTCCTGATCCTAAGTGGGAACAACATCTGCTTCACTTTCATGGCTAGTAAAGCTGTTAATGGACGTGCCATTGAACTGGCAAGGCTCATAGTCTTTTTGGCTTTGGTAAGTAAATATAGTTTTCTCAGGGCTGGCGAGATGGCTCAGTGATTAAGAGCACTGGCTTTTAAGAGCACTGCAAAGGACAAAGGTTTGATTCCCAGCACCCACATGGGGTCTAACAACCGTCCTTAACTCCGGTTCTAGGGGATACACGCCCTCTTCTGGACTCTGTGGACACTGCATGATACAGTTGCACTTAAGTACATGCAGGCAAACACTCATACACATTAGTTTTTTTCTTAGCAAGTTATTTAATGTTATACTTGACCTACCAGAGGAGCTAGTTTTTAATTCAGTAGTAGAATTGCTTGCCCAGCATTTATGAAATCCTACAACACACACACAGCCCTAACAATATACACACATATATATGTTTTGTTTGTTCTTGTTTTTTGAGATGGGGTCTCATGTAGCCCAGGTTGGCATCAAACCTATATAACCAAAGGTGACCCTGAATTTCTGAGTGTTGGTATTATAGGCATGTGCCATCATGCCCGATTTTATTCATTTGCTGAGCATTTCCCATTAACAGAGTCAGTGGGGTATCATGTAATAAACTATGCTAAATCATAAGTCATCATTGTCAATGTCACTTTCAAGTTCTACAGCTTTCTTCAAATGAAGATTTATAATAATGCTTTGTATGTCTAAATCAGGTGAGTGAGAAAGAACTATACTGCATGGACTGGACAGTGAAAATGATGCAAAAAGTCTGTAAAGTCTTTAGTACTCCACTGGAAAGAAATCACTTCCTGCAGAATGTGGCCAATGCATTTGCCTGTGTTACGATGGAAATGCTGCAGCCGGTTATATCTGGTAAGTGAGAATTTAGACAGTGCACAGGTGTGTGAGAGAGTGCCTTCTGGTCTCCACTTAGGATGGAACTAGCTGGGCCTGGTGGTGCACACCAGTACTCAGGGCTGAGCAGGAACAGGAGGATCTGGAATTTAGGGCCAGCCTGGGTATACAGAAAGAACCTATATGAGACAGAGGCAGAGACAGAAAAACAAAGAAGGACAGACAGAGCAAGAGAGAGAGAGAGACAGAGAGACAGAGAGAGACAGAGAGACTTAGTTCTCTGTAGACTAGTATTTCTAAATTAACAATATAAGAAGTAGACCTTTTAGCCGGGCATGGTGGCACACACCTTTAATCCCAGCACTCGGGAGGCAGAGGCAGGTGGCTCTCTTGTGAGTTCAAGGCCAGCCTGGTCTACATAGTGAGTTCAGGTCAGCTGGGACTACAGGGTCTCCCTGTCTCAAAAAGACAAAAAAAATAAAACAAAAAAAAAAACAAGATTTTTTTTTCATTTTTCCATGAGATATTTTTAGTTCCTGGCTTTTGTCACCTTAAAAATCTGGTATTGGTTTCAATACCAAACTTAAAACTGAAGAGTCTGTTCTAAAAGGAACTAATTTCAATTATGCTGGACAAAAAATTTAAAGAATTAATTTGCTTACTTACCAACTATCATAATCCTCATAATAATGTATTTGTAGAGGTTTCGCAGATACTCAGTTTTATTAGGTAACCAACATTACAATTAACCCTGTTTTATAGATGAGAAAAATAAAGCTTAGAGAAATTACCTGGCTTGGCTAGTGTCATAAAGTTAGAGATTACTAAAGCATAGACCAGTATCCTTTTCCATGTTCTAACTTCATGATTTTAGTGGTAAATGTCTGACTTAAGATCACCAACAGAGCTTTCTGTTTAAATATTATTAGAAAAAATTAGAACATTTTCTATTCCTAAGCCATACGTTAAGATGTTTAATGTCTCCTTTTCCCTACTGTCTATTCCTGTGTATGGCACGTAGGAGATCGTGATGAAGATGACAGAGCCTTTCTGAATTTGTTCCATCTTCTCCATGCTCAGGCTAACTTCCATAAGGAGGTTCTGTATTTGACTATGAATGCTCTCTCTTCCTAAACACTCAGAAAGCTTTGCATTTCAAGAAAGCATCACTGAACTACCACTTAGAAGAATGCTGCTTTTTCACATCCAAAGGGAGTACCTGTTGGGCTTTTGGTCATCTAAGTAACCAAGAAATCCAAAACGACATAGGATTTTAGCAGTAACAACTTTCACTATTATCAATACAAAGCAACAGGTTAATCCAAGAATATGTTGCAGTTTTTCTGGAAAATAAGCTCTGCCTTTCCAGGCTTTAGTAAACCCAATATCAAACCAAAACAGAATGTTAACTGTCCAAAAATCTACAGCCAACCCAACCTGTTCATGTGGCTCTTTAAAGCAAAAGATAATTCTGTTTCATAGTTATAGCATATCCATTATTCAGTGAATAGTGTTATCTATTCACTTTGCTTAGGTTGAGTATAGCCCAGAAATGTTTTGTGAAGATTTCCAATATGGTGTTTTAGAATGTATGGAATATAAATCACATTATTATATTTTAATCCTGTTTTGCAGAAAAAATCCAAAAGAAGTATGTGTGGATACATGTATATGTATATCTATGTACATATAGACATACATGCTATATTTCCTTCAAGACAATCATACAAAAGTCTATAAGGAGAGGAAGATATATATTATCTTAATATAATCAAATAATCTTCTATACTTTCCTGGTGATTAGAGAAAAATATTGTAGCAAGAGAAAAAGTATAGTGAAAGAAAATAGCTCTTCCACTACCAAAACAATCTTCACAAATAATTTCCCCTTCTTAGTACTTTACTCCTTGTCTCAAAGAGTGGGGTTTGATGATAAAAAATGGAAGCATGGAGGATCAGAGTGGCTGTTTGTTTGACTGTTTCATTCAAGTCAATGGATCCCAAGAAGCTCAAGGAGACTATTCAGTAGACCTATCATAAGCCTTCACCCTCCAGTTGTATGATGAAAGCAGAAACAACTCAGGAGGCCTCCTAGATCCCTCACGTCCTCTTCTTGTGCCCTTGCTCTCCAGTCAAACCCAGACCTAGTGCATGCTAAGCAAATGCTCTGCAGTTGAGCTGGTTCCCCAGCCCACCATCACCTCACATCTTGACACCCACCTTCTCACTGGACTCCGCAGAGGCTGCTTTTATTTTCCTAGGAACCATATGAAATACTGAAAGTACCTGCAAAAGAAAGGTAGTAATTGTGGGACATTCTTGAATTTTGACAAAAGGGCTCAGTGAAAAATTTGATAGGATGAGGAACAGGGAATATTGCAGAGAAATAAAAATTGTGATAACAAGATTTTAATACATTTCAGTAGCAAAAATACCTTTAATCTGGAAGGATCAAAAAGTATTTGCCTTGTCCCATGTAATGGCACATACCTTTAATCCCAGCACTCAGGAGGGAGAGACAGGTGGATCTCTATGAGTTTGAGGCCAGCCTGGTCTACATTGTGAGTTCCAGGCTACCTTGGGCTGCATAATGAGACCCTGTCTCCAAAAAAAGGAAAAGAAGGGACTGGAGAGATGGCTAAGAAGAAAAAAAAATTAGTTTCCTTTCATTGTCCAACTATAATTCTACCAGTAGATTTTTTTTTCCCTCCAGAGTTCATCATTTGCAGATTTAGGGAAAAAAAATTATTTCTTTTACCCTTGTTTCATTTTCTTCTGCTTAGTTAAAGAATTGTCTACAAGGCTGGGCATGGTAGCACACACCTTTACTCCCAGCATGCCAGATAGATCTCTGAGTTCAAGGCCAGCCTTGTCTACACAGCAAGTTCCAGGCCAACCAGGGCTACATAGTGAAACACCACCCCAACCCCCCACCCCACCCCCGTCTCAAAAAACAAACAAACAAAACTTCTGGGAAAAAAACCCAAGTAAACAAACAACAACAACAAAAACCAAAACCAGAATTCATCTATAACTGTGAGATTAGGCATGTAGCCTAATAGTGAAGACAGGTACCACAGCAGTACAAAGTGACACCTTAATAGCATTTTTCCTGTCTCTTTTTTCCCATACCCTCTTTAGAAGGACTATTTCTCAAAACACTGGTGATTTCAGGTTGACATTGTCTTGGAAGAAAAGAAAAAATAGAGAAAAATTTAAATGTTAATATAAATAGTGAATATTTTTTAGATTTTGCTTAGTAGATTATTTTATTTTTCTTATAGAAATAAATTTGGCATTATAATATTTCCTTTAATTCTTTGAATTTTGTTAGTCTCCACAGCAGTTATTTTGAACAAGTTTATAAAAGACACATATTTTAATTAAAAATTTTTCCTAGGCTGGGCGTGGTGGTGCACGCCTTTAATCCTAGCACTTGGGAGGCAGAGGCAGGTGGATCTTTGTGAGTTTGAGGCCAGCCTGGTCTACATAGTGAGTTCCAGGACAGCGGGGGCTACAAGGAGCCCCTGTCTCAAAAAGGAAAAAAAAAAAAAAAAAAAAAAATTCCTGCGGTGGGAATTGAACTCAGAGCCTCACACATGCTAGGCAAGCATTCTACCACTGACCTATAACCCAGATAACTTAAAGCATCTTTGATCTGGATTTTGAATTTCATTATACCCTTGTTGACATGACTCACTGCTAAAAATTCTTTTAAATTCACATTATTTTATTAACCATTATTATTACCTTCCCCTTTCCAGAATTGGGAAAACAATTTTTTTTATTCTATAAAGGCAGTAGATAAATGATAAGCATTTTTCTTTTTTTTTCTTTTTTTGGGGGGGTCTCTTTGAGACAGGGTCTCCCTGTAGCCCCAGCTGTCCTGGAACTCACAGAGATCTGCCTACCTCTGCCTCCCCAGTGCTGGAACTAAAGGTGTGTGCCACCATGCCCGGCACGATAAGCATTTTTCTGTCTCATAAAAATGAATTGGCACATGCCTTTAATCCCAGCACTTGGAGGCAGAGGCAGGTAGATCTCTGTAAAATTAAGGCCAGCCAGGTCTACATAGCAAGTTCCAGGCCAACTGGGGCTACAGAGAGACCCTGCCTCAAAAAAAAAAAAAAAAAAAAAAAAGAGTAAACTGAGAAATTCTTAATTTTATTACCGTATATTTGAGACCAAATCTGCAGTTTCTACAATTCAATGATCTGGTTTGGTTTTGGTGTTTGTTTGTTTGTTTGTGAGTATATTTGTCATCAGGAATAAAGTGTGATTTTGAATTTTAAAGTGGAAAGTTAATTTGCAAAAGCATTTGTACTGAGACTTAAGTGATAGGCAGTCTTACTACAGAAAACACAGAAAGAGGAACGTTGAAAATGACTAGATTAAAACCCTAAAAGACTATAGTCCTCACTAGAACAGTTGCAATAACCCTATGCAAACTACTAACTAATCAGATGTTTCTCCTGTCTTTCTAAATCAGAAGACTGGCCTAGATGTACATTGGAAGATCTAGGCTCCCAGAACTGTTTTCTTCTCTTTCTTTCTTTTTTTTTTAAACAGGGTCTCACTATGTAGCCCTAGCTGGCCTAGAAATTCTATGTAGACCAGCCTGACCTCAAACTCACAGCGATCCACCTGCCTCTGCCTCCCAAGTGCTGGGAGCAAAGGTGTGCTCCACCACACCCAGCAACTTTTTTCCTTTTTATAGTGATGTCCTTGGCCTCCTTTGACTTTGATTTATAGGATGATTTTTACTTTTATTAGAAGGCAAAATCAACAATACATCATTACATTTCACCTTATTGTTGTTTCTATACATATACCACACCACGGTTATATTAGTAAATTAATGTTGCTACTTAGAAACTAAAGTTTGTATCTTATAGTAAGTACTCTATACCGTATGAAGCTGTAGGTTTTCATATTTAACACTATTTCAGAAAATGCCTTCTTCCTCTCACCTTTGTCCTACTCATAGTGTAGGCAATAATAAGTGATAGTTCATGCAGCAAAGCTCAGCATTACCTACTAGGTTAAGTGCATTGGGAATAATAGGCATCTGCTTCACAAGTTTCCCAGCCTGTGTTGATTTGGTTTATGTTTCCAGTCCTTTGTTAATAACAAAAATTTTATTGCCAAAGTAATTATTCACCTTTGGAGAACAGAGCAAGTGGGAGGTACCCGGCAGAGAGTATGGAACCACTTCATGTCTAAGAAATAAACACTACCTTTTTTATGTGATAATTGTTCAAGGTCAGCTTCCTTATAGCGATGGTACTTAGTCACATGATTACAGATTTCCGTAAAATCCTTTGACAGTTTCTGTGGTTACTGGAAGTCTTATTAGCACTGACTGGAAGAATGCATTGTATTTTCAAAAGCATTGTATTTATGATAAAAGTCTTTGACACTCAAATAATATTTGCTAAACTTTATTAAATATTTATTCATAGTAATAAAATTAAGTTTAAACTAGAAACATTTTCAGTGTGTTCAAAGTTTCTCATTGTGCAAGTCATTGAGTTTCTGGTTGGAGAATTATCTGTTAATTATAACTGTACAGTGATTTTTTTTTTGGTCTTTTTTGAGACAGGGTCTCTGTGTAGCCTCGGGGGATCTGAGGACTGAACCCAGGACCTTGAGCTTGCTAGACAAGCACTCAACCAACCACTGAGCTAAATCCCCAACCCATTAGTGATCTTTGAAAAAAATAAGCTATGCCGGGCATGGTGGTGCCTGCCTTTAATCCCAGCACTCAGGGGGCAGAGGCAGGTGGATCTCTGTGAGTTCAAGGCCAGCCTGGTCTACATAGTGAGTTCCAGGACAGCTGGGGCTATAGGGAATCCCTATCTCAAAGAGATGAAAAAAAAAAAGGTTGTGTAGTGGAGGTTCACCTTTAATCCCAGCCCTTGACAGACAGAGTTAGATCGAGGCTAGCCTGGTCCATATAGTGACTTCCAGGTGGGTTGGGACTAGGGAGACCCTGTCAAAAAAATATTTTTATTTGATGTGTATGTGTGTTTTTCCTGCATGTATGTAAAGTATACCCATTTCATGCAATGCCCATAGAGGTCAGAAGAGGGCATTGGATACCTGGAATAGGAGTAGAGGATGGTTATTAGCTGCCATGTGGGTGCTGGGAGCTGAACCTGGGTCCTCTGCAAGGGCAGCCTGTAGCCTCAGCTGGCCTGGAACTCACTATGTAGACCAGACTGGACTTGAACTCACAGAGGTCTGCCTGTTTCTGCCTCCCAGTGCTGAAGTGGCATGGGCCACCATGCTCAGCTACAGTGATTATTTTTTTTTTAATGAATTGTCAGAACTAGCTATGGTACACATATCTGTAATCCCAGTACTTAGGACTCAGAGGCAGGAAGATTGCCTCAATTTTGAGGCCAGCCTGGTCTATATGTTGAGTTCCAGG